TGGGTATGAACTGCCTGTTATGGGTGTTGGGAATCGAATTCATGTCCTCTGCAAGACCAACAAGTGCTCTTAATGTCTAAGCCATGTCTCCAGCTCCATAATCTTGTTTCTAAATCACTGCTGTTATGAGCTTGTGTGTTAACCACACAAAGCTGCATTTAAATTCAAATTAAATTAAATTAAATACAATTTAGTTAAAAAAAAAAAAGTTCCTCAGCTGTACAAGCCACATTCTAAGTGTTCAACAGTCACATGTTTGCTGACTACCACACAGAACATTTCCATTGTCCTAGACTGTTCATTAGATAGTGCTGTTCTAGGGCTGTGTTTAATGTTTATCCCTAATATCAGAATATTTTAATTCAGTTTAGAATTTTAAGGCTGGAAACAACTAAAAACATACTAAGTCCAATGTTATTGTATGAGCAAGAAAACAGAGGACCTGAAACCTGATTTTTTGCTTTACATTTCTTTTCATAGTTAACATCAGTTCGAGAGTTCACGATTTGACAAGGTACTGTGCTAAGAATTCTAAGAAGAACTGAGAGGGGGTAGGGAATACTGTGTGCTTTTGTAAAGTGTGAGAAGAGTGAACAGAGATGACTCTGGGAAGTAATAAGAAAAAGCCACATCATGAAAAGCTCTATGTCATGCTAATGAAGTTGGAGATTGGATTCCCTTGGTGCTAAGAATCCAAGGAATGAAAAAGAATGGTAAGATCAGATATATATGAGTAAGTAAGGTTGCTACCAGGGAGGAGGTAAGAATCAAGAAGGGAGACTAATATATTATTTAAGACTAGGCTGTAAAGATAAAGGCAAGATGTTAAGTGAGAGCAATGACAGGAAGACAGAGCTGAGGAATGTTTAAGTTGTCAATCACTAAAACTTGGTGATCTGAGTGATTCTGGTGAAGGCAGTCAGCCAAATAAGCTGAAGCTCAGAGTACAGGCCAGGAGGAAGATATGGATGTGTGGGTAGTACTAGTTAAACAGCATGGTATTCCAGGAACATTCAGGATGCTTCTCTTCTGAGAGTTCATTGAAAGCAAAGTAACCAAGAAGAAATGACCCAAGAGGGAAGAGACAACCTCGGGAGAAAGGGTGCTGGTACCAAACACAGCACAAGCATCCAGGTAGAAACCAAAAAGACATACATTTGGCAATGAGAACGCCACTTGTGACAGCTGCACGAGAACTCTTGGTGGGACATGGGGTTTAAGAGACCACGAGGCAGGGAGCATGTGCACATATGCACAGAATAATGCAGCCTGCCCTGGGAAGAAGCAAGGATGAGCCCAATAAAAGAAACCAGAAGCTCTGTCAAGAGTTTGAAAGTATGAAAAAAGACTTAACAGGAAAGGTGTCAGGAAATGCCTGCAGAAGACAGACTGGAAATGTGGGTAAAGGTCTGGTGAGGAAGTCAGGTAGTGTAACACTGCTTCTGAGCACTGCCACCCAGGTATCCACTCACACCTCAAACTCCACAAGTCTAAGAATGCAGTCAGCTCCCGCACAGCTTCATTTTTTAAATATTCTTTTCTATTTCAGAAAAGGGCATTAACGTGTTACACAGCACTTAAGAAGTCTAGAACTCAGGCCCGTGAGAGGACTCAATGGGCAAAGGTACCTGCTATGTAAGTCTGATGACCTGGGTTTAATCCCCGGAGCTCATGTATAGGTGGGAGAGAACTGGCTCTACAAAGCTGTCCTCTGACCTTAAAACATGAGTTGTGATACATACATAACACACACAAACACACAAACACACACACACACACACTGCACATGCACTCACAATAATAATCCAAAGGTTTTTTTTTTTTTAAACTAAAAAGTTGGGGCTGGAGAGATGGCTCAGTGGTTAAGAGCACTGGCTGTTCTTGTAGAGGACCTGGGTTCAATTCCCAACACCATGTGATGGCTAACAAATCTCCAGTGTCAGGAGATCTACTGCCATCTTCTGTCCTCCACAGGCACTACATGCTTGACTGATTTTACATACAAGCAAGTAAAACACTCATACACATTTTAAAAAAAAAGTAAAAGGTTCCCAGTATATTTGCCTTGCCCCTCCTTGCTCAGTCCTACAAGTGATGCACCACCACGCCCGGCCTGTCTGCTGCTGTTAAAGGCAGAAATTCATCTGCCATTTTGGTATTCACATTTCAACATAGACTCACATAGCTCCATAATGCTTTCCGACTAGCAGAGACTCTAGCACTGGGAGGAAAGAATAAAGGCTGTCAATGAAAAATCAGGGATAACGTCAGCAAGACTCTGAAAAAAGAGTAATTCCTGGGTTTGGAGAGATGAACATTAAGAGCACTGGCTGCTCTTGCAGAGGACCTGGGTTCAGTTCCCAGCACCTACATGGTCACTAACACCATCTACAATTCTAGCTTCAGCTGATTCAATGCCCTCTTCTGGCCTCCTTGGGCATTGTGCACACATAGTACACTTATATTCATGCAGGTAAAACACTCATACACATAAAATAATAAGCAAATAAAATTAAATAAAACTCGTGTTTAAAAGGGGGCTAGAGAGATGGCTCAGCAGTTAAGAGTACTGGCTGCTCTTGCAGAAGACCCAGGTTCAGTTCCTAACACCCACATGGTGGCTAAGAGCCACCTCTAACTCCAGTTCCAGGGGATATGACGCCCTCTTCTGACCTCCATGGGCACTGCACAACATGGGTACACTTACATTCATGGAAGCAATATACTCATACACATAAAATTAAAAAAATAAAATAAAGAATCCTTGAATGACAGCTATTCAGTCCCTTGCTTGTAGAAATGTTTCCTGACTGAACCTTCACTTCTAAATTCATCCATGAAGAACCCACCACTCACAAAGAAGAGAATCAAGGAAGAATTTAGATCACCTATGAAAGGCCACTGCCCCTCAAAAATTGAGGCTGATAAGTCAATTTAAAGATCTTACTTACACTTCAAATTTAGTATATCAAAATGAATTAGTAAATGGGGAACAGTGGGGAGTGAATATGATCAAATACTTTATATACATATATGAAATTCTCAAAAAAATTAAGGAAAAAAAATAAACGAACCATTCAGTAAGCTGTACCCATAGACCCAGACTTTGGAAAGACTTTTGACATCCCATTACAAACCTCTTGCTATAAAGATAAAACATGCAGGAATTAAGGGACTTGTCTAAGGCCACAGACATTTATACCACCCAAATGACTCCTCTTACTTTGGCAATGCATGGACATATATGATGGCTAATTCTGTATACTTTTCCTGTATCTAAGAATCTTGAGCAGGGTGTAGTGGTGAGCACTTTTAGTCCCAGCACTCGGGAGGCAGAGGCACGTGGATCTCTGTGAGTTCCAGGCCAGCCTGGTCTACATAGTGAATTCCAGGACAGCTGGGGCTCCAGGGAAACGCTGTCTCAAAAAAAAAAAACAAACAAACAAACAAAAAAAGATAATCTTGATTTCCTTTAACAATTTTATGAAATTGTAGTGAAATATTCTTCTGTGTTTGAAAAGTAACTTAACAAAGCAAATTTTTAAGATCTGTAAAATATAGATTATCAAATATAGTTCATGACAAAGACATCAAAACTCCCCTTAGTTCTTGTTTTACAAGCTCACAATACAAAGGTCTCAGAATTTTTAATTCTCTACAACAGGCTCTGGTAAAACAAACAAAAACTAAAATTTGAGTTGAGAAAAACACTACTGTAACCTTACGAAACAGTTTAGCTGCATAAATAAAATTAAGTTTATCATACGTACTTAAAGCTCTAGAATGATCCGGATTCCTTATTCCCTTTGCTCGTAACCTCTGAAGAAGAACTGTTGAGGACAACTGTTTTACAAGATATACTGCCATGGAATAGGTCTAGAAAAAAGAGATGCAGAAAACCAATTACATATTTAGTAAACAGTACATCTATTTTAATCCCACAACAACAGGGAAAGAAACTAATGTGTCCAGCAGTCTTAGGTATTTTCATGAGCAGTAGTTCACTGAATCCTGATAAAAAGCTGCTGAGGTGTCAGTCATAAACTTAATTTTTATAGATGAGAAAACTGAAGTAGAATAGTAAAAAAAAAACTGTCTAACTTGCTACACCTAAGTGGCAAACCTAGAACTCAAACCCAGGTCTGTCATGCTGCTATATCACCTATGCCTGAAGTTAATGAATTTAAGATACTTATATGAACACTATTTGAGAGTAAATATAAACCGAGGGCATTAAGATGTATATCATAAACCATATTTAGTAGATAAGATATACCCCAAATGGTAGCTATTTAAAAATTATAAATGAGATGTTTCCTAATCTATATCTTTTTTTTTGGTCTTTTTTTTTTTGAGACAGGGTCTCCCTGTAGCCCCAGTTGTCCTGGAATTCACTGTGTGGACCAGGCTGGCCTTGAACTCACAAAGACCCGCCTGCCTCTGCCTCCCAGGTGCTGGGATTAAAGGCGTGCGCCACCAAGCCCAGCACCTAATCTATGTCTTTTTTAAGAAAAAAATTATTTATATTTTTATGTGTATGAGTGTATTGCTTGCATGTTTGTGAGCGTACCCATGTCATGCAATGCTGTGGAGGTCAGAAGAGGGCTTCAGATTCCCCTGGGACTGGAGTTAAGGATAGTTCATAGCTGCCATGTGGGTGCTGGGAAACAAACCTGGGTCCTCTGCAAGAGCAGTCAGTGCTCTTAACCGCTGAGCCATTTCTCCAGCCCCACTAATCTATATCTTTTAACTTCTCTTTGTGCCTGTAGATCCACTAGATCCTAAAGACTCTACTAGAGCCCCGAGCACGAGAAACAGAGGAAACAGTCAAGGCTGCAAAGAGACGTGGCTGGTATGGCAAATGAACAGAATACCTATTACCTGCAGAGGGACTACCCTGAGATGACAGTGGGTGAAGGGTACAAAGAAAACAGCCAAGGCTGAGTGAAGGGTGCACAGTTGGGTACGAGGAAGAAGAGGGGGCCAAGACATATGAAGGGGAGGAGAGGGAAAGGTCTGAAAAGGTTATTTTCTCTTTGGTGATGGGATTGAGCAGATTACTATCTTGTAAGTTACCGCTACAGAGTATTCAAAGCACTTAGTATTTACTGTATACTTTAAACTCTAATGCCTAAGAAAGAGAGAATAGTACGTTCAAGGTGAAGGGCTGATGAAACTGAGACACAGGTTGTATAATCTGCTTACGAGCATGTTAACTGCTTGGATAGCACAGGCAGTAGAAACCAAGAGGAAAGGGTAAGGATGCCAGGGGGACTTAATGAGCAAGGACCAGGAGGTTCTCTCTACTTCTTGCTTCCAGGATTAGCACCTCCTAACTGGCCCCATGCATACTCCAACTTGCATTTACTTTCACATACATACATACACACATTTTATTTATTTAACAGGATTAGGAACTGAACCTAGGGCCTCCTGGATGCTAGGCAGGTATTCTACCACTGGGCTATAGTCCCAGCTTAACTTTTTACATTTTAAATATGCATTCGCCTCTTAGCAGCAAGAGAAAACCATCCTGCACAACCCTCTAGAAAATTTAATTTTCCTGTCAAGTTCAGAAACTTATCTATGTTTGTGTGCTGCACATTTTCTGGAAAACACAAGTAGTAAAAGAGCAAATTCACTTTCATTATAAATTTCACTATATTAATGAGGAACAAGTAACTTTACAACTTCCCTAAATCTTAGAACAAACAACCCACCAATCTAGTAAAGAACTGGTACATTCTTTTGGGGGTAAACCAACCCTTACTATCACTACTTATTTGCTTAATGCTTCAAGTGTAACAGAAAATGGAAAAATGCTAATTAATGCTGTGAAATTCTATATCGACAGCTTGAATCTTCAGAACTTGAAACTACCCTAAAGCTTTATATGAACATTTAAGATGAAATCAGTAAAAACCACAAGTTCAGTGAAAAGGTATGTTCACTCTAGTTGAAACATGTAACCAAATAGAGAAGCAAGGGGGGGGGCGGAAGGGGAGTTGCAAAAAAGAATGCCAGGTATGAACACATTCCACTTGACCTGACAGTAGTATGGAACACTGTATCAAGATCCAGCAAGGAAAGCTCCTAAGCGCTCACAGTGGTGCAGCATCTGTGTAGACAGTGCTCTTGCTGACCCTTCTAAGCACTTCCTAACCCAAATTTTAGATAAATATAAGGGTGTACCGTTATTTTTGTCTACATGCCCAGCTCTCAAAATCCATTTCTAAAAAGAAATTCTATAAAAGAGGAATATTGTATATATTCCTATTATTAATGTAATTAAGTTCTGTCAAAAACTAATAATGGGCTTGCATGCATGCAAAACACTCATACACACAAATAAAAATAAAAAGGTTTTAAAATTAAAACAATTAAGTACAACAACAAAAACCTAGCAGTGAGGCTCGGTGGTTAAGAGGACTTGCTCTGCAATTGTGAGGACTGGAGTTCAGGCAGGTTTCCCTCAAAGGCTTGTAAGTAGGGGAGGAGACAGGAGGGTCTCTGGGGCCTGCTGGCTTCCAGTCTAGCTGAGACATGTTCAGGAAGAGACCCTGCTCAGAGGAGTAGGCAAACAGTGATGGAAGCAGACACTGATGTCCTCTTCTGGCCTCCGTGTGCTCAAATACTCATAAGATACTTATACACACACCATAAATAAATAAATAAAAATAAATCTTTAGAACAAAAGAGGCCATTATAATAATGTTATAACAGTAGCAGCATTCTCAAGAACAATGGGACAATTTACTAGCATCTGGATTATTCAATACTGTTCAATGTTCTAGTCAGTAAAACAGGAAACAGGTAAGGTCTATCTATCAGGATTATCATTGGTATAACCTTTTACCCAATTCCCATCCTTCTCTGTTTTTCTCTTGTCATCACTTCCTCAGTGAAGCCCTTCCTGGCCTGCACTCCTCTTGCACAGGTCCTTTCTCATTCTAAAACCACTAGGCACTTCTTTACAGTACTTGAACAGGTTCCGCTCTGTGTGTGTGTGTGTGTGTGTGTGTGTGTGTGTGTGTGTGTCCATTCAGCTCCTAGATCTCAGGCTCCAGGAGAACAAGGGATCTGTCCTCCTTATGGTGGTGTCATACCGTGCACAGCACACAGTAAATATTTAGTAAATTTTAAGTCGTGGGTAGAAGAGTTAATACAAAAACTTTAAAACTGTAATTTTTTTGAAGATTATCTCTGAAAATGAATGTTAGGTTAAGAAATAGTGCAGAAAAGTTGAGATGCAATAAGAATTTATAAATTATATCTTTAACAACATTAGGTACAGAAGCATCTTCTTAGCTAGAGATATTAAAACTGCTCGACCCAAAAAGAAAAGTCCTTTCTGGGATAACTAATGAATTTAAGATGGATTAAATATTTAAAGGTAACGTGAACTCTTAATAGTCTAGTAGTTCAATTTGTTTAGGTCAGCTTGGCAAAGTGGACCAACAGACTAAGCATGACGGAAAGGGAAATACTGCAAAGGAAAAAGCTGGTTAGATTTGGCTCTGTGAAAATTTAAACCTACATATGAAACTAATCACATAAATAAAAAGCAAACAAAGCTGCATAAGATAGTAAGAGCAATAGAGAAATGGATAGGGATACAGATTTAAAATGTAAATAGTCACAAATATATTCAATCTCACCAATAATAAAGGGATACTAAGTGCTAACACTATTCAGTGGTTTACAGGCATACAAATAAACACTGTAAATCAGAGAACAAATTTGTACATTTCTGGGGAAAGCAATCTGTCAATGTACACAAAATTGCTTATTGCATGTTCTTTGGCTCATAAATTTTACTGAGAATTTACTGTAAGGAAATCATCATGTATGTATGTAAAAGTACACTACCAGGACAGTGTTCAAAATGGTCTTTCAATCAGTAAATAAGTACTCAGCAATAGGGAATAGACTAAATAATGGCATATTCATATCACCATATGATCTAGTCATTTAAAATGTTGCAAAAGGCCGGGAGTGGTGGCATATACCTTTAATCCCAGCACTTGGGAGGCAGCTGCAGGTGGATCTCTGTGAGTTCAAGGCCAGCCTGGTCTACCTACTGAGTTCCAGGACACCTGGGGCTACAGGGAAAGCCTGTCTCAAAAAGACCCCCCCCCCAAAAAATTTTAAAACGTATTTGTTATTTAATGTGTATGAGTGTTTTACCTACATGTGCATTAAGTGCACCCATGTCATACAATGCCCATGAAAACCAGAAGAGGGGATCAGATCCCCTGGGACTGGACTTACTGCTGGTTTTTAGCTACCCTGTGATGCTGAGAATTGAACCTGGGTCTTCTGTAAGAGCAGCCAATGCTCTTAATCGTTGAGAGTCTCTCCAGCCCTCCACCTTACTTTTCTGTCGTAGATAATCGGACGAGTGAAGTGATATTAATTGGTCGGCTGGGTCGCTTTGGTTCCACACCATTTTTAGTAGGTGGCAGGTAGCCCTAAGGAAAATAAAAATATATTTCTACTTTATACCTTCACAACTGTTTCCATTTCTTAGAAAGAAAAACAAACTACAAAGCAAATGGCAGAAAATACCAATGTTTTGATTTAAAAAAAAAAAAAAGAGAGAGATACAAACTGGGCGTAGTGGTGCACACTTTTAACCCAGCACTTGGGAGGCAGAGGTAGGTGGATCTCTGTGAATTCGAAGCCAGCAGGGGCTACAGGAAGGTCTTGCCTCAAAAACAAATGAACAAATAAGTAAATAAGCAAACATTTATGAGTTACCTGAGACATGATTTCTCAAAACAATATTACAGTCTCATTTTAATAAGCTTGAGAAAAATCTGATAGAAATTCAAAATCTTTCAAATCCAGGAGTCAGCATGAATTCACAAATAGCTTCAAGAGATCTATAAGGAGGATTTCCATGGGCACCAAACACAGCTCACAGCCTCACCCCCTCTAAAGCACAGCACCACATCTACATTCCATTATAGGCCTGTAGACTAACAGGAATGTAGATGAGATTTGGTTGAAATAACTTCTCCCTAAAATCCAGCACAATACTAAAGCTACCACACCCAACTCAAATGCTAGAATTTTCTCTCCATGTCTCATGTTCGAACTGCAAACTATATGTAATTGGTGCAAATGTTTCACCCAGTCACATAAATATACAGTCAAAGTAATGAGGACTGAACCTTCTGAATGCTAAGCATGTATTCTACAACTGAGCTACATCCCTAGCCCCCAAAATGTTTTCTTAATGTAAAACTGATCAACAGCAGCTACGATGACTTATTTGGTAGTCATGCAGGTAATGTAATTTAAAAATAGCTTTTAGAACTTACTGGAAGGCTGCAAGGTTTTGTATTCACTTTCACACACAGATTGGGTGGGAAGTGGTCTTCTTGTGGACAACTGGTTTCCGATAAACAAAACCTAAGCAACAAAGATTATGTTTAATTGCCTTTATTAAAAGAGAATCTCTAACATTTTTGTTCAATAACAAATTTGAAAGATGATCAATTTGAAAAACACAAAAAGGGAAAACTATATAAAACAAAATATAGGCAAACAGGCTTAAAACAACTGTTGACCTTTGAACATGAGTTTGAATTGTATAGTTCCACTTACACAAGTGTGTGTGTATATGTGTTTTGCTGTTATTGGAAATTTTTGATGATTTATACAAACTAAGAAAAATCTGTTAGCTTAGATGTTGAAAACATCCAGAAATATTTAGATATTTCTAAATGCAACATGTATGTAGATAATATTCTAAGTCACCACAAAATATATATAAATCTACTATTTTAAACTTAAAATTTGACAAAACTTATGTATATAAAGAGATCATACACAGTGCCATTCTTGCTCAAGATAATCAAACATACATGAAGTTGTAATAAGTCACAACTGTGTGAAAGAATGGTTCATTCTATACTGCTAGAATAATTCCACACTTCCCGTTTCTGTGAAAGGAGAACTGGCCTTGGGTATGTACTGGAGATAAGTAATAAAGCACAGGTGCAACTAATAGTAAATAATTTGTTTCTAAGTGTAAATAGAGTGAAAAGAATAATTTCACAGCTACCTCATTTCTACAGCAGTGAGCTAAGTGTTCTGAGTATTCACTTAAAATCTTTTGAGATCTAATTATCTCTGTGCAAGCAGTCCTTCTCTTCTGTAAACTGCTACTTCAGTAAAAGTAAACTCACATGGTTCTTGCACATTTTCACTACATATACTACACATAAAATATGTTATCAGGGGCTGGAGTGATGGCTCAGTGGTTAAAAGCACTGACTGCTCTTACAGAGGACCCGGGTTCCATTCCCAGCAATGGCGGCTACGAACCGTCTTTAACTCCAGGTTCCAGGGGAACCTGAAGCCCTCTTCTGATCTCCACACAACATGGGTGCACTCACATACATGCAGGCAATACACTCATACATGTAAAATAAAAAATTTTTTAAATGTTATCAATAAGGCAACTGTTAGTTAAGTTGTGGGGGAGTCAAAAGCTATGTGAAATTTTCAACTCAGGCAGGAGTTGGTTTCCCTAACTTGCTTCCTCACCCAAGTTGTTTAAGTTCAGCTGTAAATACTTCTGTCAAGCATCTGAAATAGTGATTGTGATTACCAACTCACAGCAGTTTTCACCATGGCTTTACTATTTACTGAACTATCCTCTGAGGAACAGTAGCTTCCTCAGATATTACCAGGCGTTAAAAAGACTAAGTTTTTTTTTAAAGCTCTGTAACTAAATGCATTTTAAAAATTCTGAATCAGAACAATTAAAGCTTCCATATCAAAGGCCTTCTCAGAGCTTGAAATGGCTCATATGCATTATAAATCTAAGAGGAAAACACAGCATACAGAGGACTGCCTCTAGTTCTCAACAAAATACATTGAAAATTCAATCCTTGGGCCAAAACCCTACTTCAAGACCATGTTATCCAGCAAACGAAGGAACTCCTTTATTACTTGAAAACTGACGATACTAGATAACAACAGTATTTGTGTTATATTGGCATAAATTTTGAATACTAGTACAGAAACTCATGAAAATATTTATTTCTAAATTAAATGCATAATCTTTTGGGAAAACCAAGGTAGTTACAAAATTTGTAAATTCTCACCCTATTTACTCTTAACACACTTGGAGAAATAATTTATTTTCTATTAAAGATATCTATTCTTCCAGGACTTGGGAGGCAGAGGCAAGCCCGGTCTACATATTAAGTTCCAAGTCAGCCAGGGCCGTACAGTGAGACTCTGTCTCAAAAAAAAAAATTATATTCTTTATTACTTCCCTATCTCCCATATACACCTGTGGTTCATTCTATTTTTACAGAAAGTCTTTGGGCTAGATGACAGGGAATAGTTTATGAAATATTCATTACGTGCAAGTATTAGCTCTTAACTTCTGTTGTATAAGATCTTAACCTGCCAGCCATAGAATCTGTGTGCTAGAATGACCCACATATCAAAGTCACTGTGCTACATAAAATTTTATGTGTGCGCGCGCACACACACACACACACACACAAATTCATTTTTAGGAAAACAATCCATAGCTTCCAATACATTCTCAAAAAGTTAAATACTCATTTACCAAGATTTTTCTAGAAATGTTCTTTAGCAAACAGATTTGTCAAAGCTCACAGGGCCATCTCTAACCCCAGTAGATATGCCCATTACATTATCGTTATTATTATGATGATGATGATGTGTTTTTGTTTTTGGAGACAGGGTCTCCCTGTAGCTCCAACTAGCCTGGAACTTGCTATGTAGACCAGGCTGGCCTAGAACTTGAATTCACAGAGATCCACCTGCCTCTGCCTCCCAAGTGCTGGGATTCAAGGTGTGTGGCTACAATGCTCAGCACCGTTACATTATTTTAAAACAATATTTTATTTAGGGGGCTAGGGAGATGGCTCAGTGGTTAAGAGCACTGATTGCTCTTGCACAGGATTTGATTCCCAGCACCCACAAGTATATAAGTGTATTGCCTGCATGTGTATGAGTGCACCTGTGTTGTGCAATAACCTCAGAGGTCAGAAGAGGGCATTGGATACCCTGGAACTGGAGTTACAGACGGAGTTACAGTTCATAATTGGAGTTACAGTTCTTAGCCGTCATGCGGGTGCTGGGAATTGAACCTGGGTCCTCTGCAAGAGCAGTCAATGCTCTTCAGCCCCCACCGTTATTTCTTTTGTTGCTGTTGTTTTTATTTTTTGAGACAGGTCTCACTAAGTATCCTAGGCTGGCAACCCTGCCTTTGCCTTCTGATGCTGGCTGGGACGCTAGGGGTGAGCCATCATACATGGCTTACAGCAAAAGGATGACATACTTTTAAAATCATTCCTGTGCAATGGTAAAGTAAAACACAGACACCATGTGTGCTGGTTAGTTTTTGTCAATTTGACATAAACTAGGGACACCTGGGCTGAGGGAGCCTCAACTGAGGAACTGGATTGGCCTGTGGCCATGTCTGTGAGGCATTTTCTTGATTGCTAATTGATGTAGGGTGGCTCAGCCTATGGTGGGTAGTGCCATTTCTGGACAGATGGGCTTGGGCTGTGTAAGAGAAGTAAATGAGCAAGCCAAGAGCATGCCAGTAAGCAGTGTTCCTCCATGGCATCTACTTCAATTCCTGCCTCCAGGTTTCTGCCCTGCTAGGTTCCTGCCTTGGCTTTCCTCAGTGATGGACTGTGAAAGCCAAACAGACCCTTTTCCTCCCAAGTTGCTTTTGGTTATGGTGTTTAGTCACAGCAACAGGAAAGTAAATGAGAAAACCATGGTACTCAAAGCTATAGGGAAAGAATGATTTATATGACAAGTTGACTCCTATTGAACTAGGTGAAAAGTAAAAATCTACATCATTTCAACAAACTGAAGGGAAAGGGAGGAACGATAACGGTTTTTGTGAGGTCGTTCATGGAGGTAGGAACAAGGAGCACATAAATGAAAAGACTGAATGATTTAGATAAACATTCAAAATGAAGAAATCAAATAGGCACATATTGTCAAACAATACACTGGGTAGATGGCTTAGCAAAGGGGGATGGGGTAAGAAGAAGAGATGAAGCCTATTTTATTAAGACAAAGAATCACTTAACAAATGAGAAAAACACCACAAAATGTTATAGGTGTTTTTCACCTATGAAGTTCTGGAGATAAATTTTAATTTAAAAGAGCTAACCAGGTGGGTGTGAGTTCAGAAAAAAAAAAGCTAAGCCAGTATGACATAGTGGTGGCATGCCTTTAATCCAAGCATTCAGGAGGCAGAGGCAGAGGCAGAGGCAGGTGGATCTCTGTGAGAATGAGGCCATCCAGGTCTACACAGTGAGACCCTGTCTTTCTCCATTCTTCCCCTAGACCTCCCCACAAAAAGGCCAAACCATTTTAAAACAATTTTTAAAAACTTATGTGTGTCTGTACATATATATGAGCATGTATGTATGGGTGCCTGCAGAGGTCAGAAGAGGGGATCAGAGCTCCTAGACCTGAGTTACAGGCAATTGTGAAATGCCTGATGTGGGTACTGGAAATCAAACTCAGGTTTTCTGCAGGAGCATTAGTGTTCTTAACCACTGAGCCATCACTCCAACCTCAGCTAAAACATTTTATAAAATTTATTTATTCATGTTTTATGGGTACCAGTGTTTTGTCTGCATGTGAATAAGTACACCCATGTCATGCAATGCTCAGGGAAGCCAGAAGTACGTGTTGGATACCCTGAAACTGGAGTTATAGGCAGTTCTTAGCTGCCATGTGGGTGCTGGGAACCAAACCGGAGTCCTTTGTAAGAGTATCCAGTGCTCTTAACCACTAAGCCATCTACCAGCCCCAGTTAAACCATTTTTTTTATTTTATTTTTTATTATTTTATGTGTATGAGTGTATTACCTGCATGTATGTAGTGCGCCTATGTTGTGCAATGCCACAGAGGTCAGAAGAGGGCTTTGGATTCCCCTGGAACTGGGGACGGTTCGTAGCTGCCATGTGGGTGCTGGGAATCGAACCCCAGATTCTCTGCAACAGCAGTCAGTGCTCTTAACCACCGAGCACTCTCCAGCCCCCAGTTATATCATTTTTAACTACCAAAGTTCATTTGGAATTTGAATTAGCTGACCTCTAAGAAAGTTAATCTTCAGTCAAAATGTGACCCAGATATATGGTTGTATGTTAACATGAAATATTGACCACAGTCACTTAATCTTTTATTCTAGAACTATGGTTTCAAACTTTATTTTGGTCTTGGGATCCTTTCGTCAAGCAAAAGGAATCTAGAAGTCAAAGACATAAAACAGACAAAGGCAGCAGGACTTGTGTTCAGAGTGGGTGGAAGAGATAACAGTAGAAAAGAGTGTGTTCTGAAGGGCAGCTCCCTGTAGCTATTTGAAAACAGTACTGTTTTAAGAGATAAAGTAAGTATGCACAAAAAGTAAATGTTTGAGACAAGTGAAGAATAAACAGCTGGGAGAGGTGGTTTATACTACAGTAATTCCAGCACCTGGGAGACTGAGGCAGGAAGACTGCTCTGAGTTCCAGCCTATCTTGGGCTACAGTGTGAAACCCCACCTCAAAACAAACAAAAAATAGGGCCTGTGAGCTGGCTCTACAGGTAAAGGCATTTGCTGCCAAGTCTCATGACTTGAGTTTGATTCCCAGAACCTATAGAGCAGAGAGAGAGAGAGAGAGAGAGAGAGAGAGGAGAGAGAGAGAGAGAGAGAGAGGGAGAGAGAGAGAGAGAGAGAGAGAGAGAGAGAGAGAGAGAGAATTGATTTCCCGCAAATCATCCTCTGACCTCCACATGCGTGCACGTGTGTACACACACAGAGACACAGGGACACAGACACAATAAAAAGTGAGAAAGTTGTAGGTGCTGTAGACTGCTCTCTTTCCTGACCCACTAGTGCATTTCTAATTTGGTATGAGATTGTAATACCAGACTGTTTATAGGGAACATAGCTGACCGAGGAAAACAGCTGTCTCTTGTTTTCTTTCTTCCTCCTATCCCAACAAGAACAGCATGTGACACCTAGATGTGCACATGGATAGTCACTGAACAAAAAAAGCAGCACAAAACTCATTTATGTAAACAAGAACAAGGTTTCTTTGATATTTTCAGAAGAAACGGAGGAGCTAAGAGATCTCATAAGGGGCAGCTGTGAGCCTCTGCTGGAAAATTTTCTATTCATTTCTGAAAACTTCCCTGCAAAAATCTCATGTGGGTTTTGAATTAGGTCACATTTAAATTAATTATTTAAAATAGAGGACAAGGGGCTGGAGAGATGGTTCAGCAGTTAAGAGCATTGGTTGCTCTTGCAGAGGAACCATGGTTCAATTCCCAGCACACACATGGTGGCTAATAGCCATTGGTAATTCCAATTCCAGGGGATCCAACGTGTTCTTCTGGCCTTCACAGGCATTGCACGACATGGATTTACGTACATACAGGTAGGCAATACACTCATACACATAAAATAAAAAAATAATAAAACATTTTTTTAAAAATAGAGGACAAGGGGCTGGAGAGATGGCTCAGAGGTTAAGAGGACTGATTGTTCTTGCAAAGAACCTGGGTTTGAGTCCCAGCACCTACACGGCGGCTATGAACCGTCCTCAACTCCAGTTCTAGGGGAATCCAAAGCCCTCTTCTGATCTCCGTGGCACTGCATGACACTGGTGCACTCACATACATGCAGGCAATACACTCATACACATTAAAAAAAAAAATAGAGGACAAGGCACATAAGAATATTTGGTGTGTGCTAATTCATGAGATTCTACAGACTGAAGTTTGCATCTTCAGTAGATGAGGCTCTCCTCCCAGGAGAGCTGATACTTCTAAAGAACTGACCAGGTATGAAAGGCACCATCAGCTTCTCTGCCACCGAGAAAATCCATATAGGGTAGCGGTTAGGATAGTTTATAACACCTTGTCTCCTAGATATTTAAACCCAGTATTTTCAATGTATCTGTTGAAAATCAAGGAGATTTTTAAAAATTCACCTCTAAGGAACATTATATTTTAAAGTTTAAATATATACTGTAGTCAACACTGTACCTTAATTGGACCTGCACTGTGAAGTCACACTTGGTCCCAGAAATATCCCTAAAATAGAACAAGATTTACAATTATTTTAAAATATGTACATGAAGATACCATCCCTCCAGAAAAGTATTTTTAATTATCAGAAATATGACTGTTCTTAAAGTAATACATTGCAATAACATTTAATATTAACATACCCAATAGTTGCCTATGTGTGGGGCTCTCTAACACTGAGCTGTAACCCCAAATAGATCATCTAAAAAATCATTTACTATAGACAGGCCTGGACCCAGCCAAGCCACAGGTCCCGCCAAGGATGACTTACATGGAACTACTGATCTGCTGCACTTGTTGAGGTGTCAAGGCAAATGCAAAGCAGGTTTCTCGAAAGCGCTGACTGTTGTCTGATGCTAAAGAAGAGAAGAATTATATCAGTACAGAGGATAATTGCAAAAAAACCCCACATCTTTAATTATCTGGAATATATTCTAGAGTTCAGACAACAAGACAACTGAAGCACTGAAAATTTAGAAATATGCTTGCATGTGATATATAAAACAAAAAGGTAGAAAGGACTAATTTCAGAAATAGCCCATTAGGATTCAACTACAGCATGATGGCACACACCTTTAATCCCAGGCAGAGGCCAGCCTGGACTACATAGGGAGTTCCAGGCCAACTAGGGATATAGGGAGACCCTGTCTCAAAAACAAACCAACAAACATTAGGATTCAAATTCAGAGACTACATGGCAAAAAGGATTAATAAAAAAGTAATGGCACACGCCTTTAGTCCCAGCACTTGGGAGGCAGCAGAGGCAGGAGGGAGCAGAGGGAGGCAGATCTCTGTGAGTTCAAGTCTAGCCTGGTCTACGTAGTCAGTTCTAGGACAGCTGGAGATACAGGGAGACCCTGTCTCAAAAAGACCCCCCCCCCAAATCTAATTGTATAAATGTTCATCTAAAAACAACCCATGAAAGCATAATGATATACTTAAAATATAATTATATCTATTCATTTAAATATCCATAGTTTCTGAGCTAAGTAAACATGCTTGCCTTGAGATCTGCTCAAGTAAAATCACATTTGGTTTTTAAAGTATATGAAATGTTTTATCATCTCTTATTTATACCAGGCTAGGGGTTTTTTGTTTTTGTTCTTTTTTTTCCTCCTAAGAGTTCTCTTCATGGAGCTCAGTACAGGTCTATGAAAAAGTCCTCATCATAGGGGTAGGCTCATTTGAGTTAGGGTCTTGCTATGATCCTGTGTAGCCCGGGGTGCTAGGTCTACCCTTAAACTTGTGACCCTCCTGTGTCTGTTTCCTGAATGCTGTGATCAGAGGTGCATACCGACACACCTGACCCCCATGCAAATTTCATACACTATCATACATAGTTTCTCTTATTCTTGGATGGTTTCAATTCAAAATTTGCTTGTTATCATCTCAAAGAAGGAACAAGGTATGAGAAAGAAAATATTAACCAAAAGAATGGTGGGGAGACCTGGGCGTGGTGGTGCATGCCTTTAATCCCAGCACTCAGGGGGGCAGAGGCAGGTGAATCTGTGTGAGTTCAAGGCCAGCCTGGTCTACATAGTGAGTTC